TCGCCGAGGTTGCTGGTGCATCGCCGACGCGCCGGCGATGCGGCGCGATCCTCCGACCCCATCTATGCCGATCCCATCTGGGAGGCGTCTAGTGTGGGGTGGGCTGTGGTGGGGTGGGGGCGGAAGTTCCGCCTTGTGAAAGCAGCCACGGGGGCCCGTGGCACGCCGGCAGCGGCGCAGCGCCACTGCGTTTTGCCAGGATCCCTGCTAGATCCAGGTCGACGACAGCTATGCACCGACGCTGGTGCCGGCCACGGCCATCTTGGGCCTGGCATCGGCGTGTGTACGCCATCTTGGGCCAGAAGGCGTATAGGCCGATCTCGGTGTCGGTGTACAGTCGTTGACCTCGGCCAGGCCAAGCCCGGTGTCGGGGGTGGCCTGGCCAAGCCCGGTTTCGGTGTACAGTTGATGACCTCCTGGGACTTGGTCTTGTCTTGAAAAAGAAGCTCCCTGAGAGCAGTGGGCCTTCGGAGCCTCGCGCTCCAGCGTGCGGGCCAGTGGCAGGGGGTAGACATCCAGGAGAGCGGCCGCTGCCACTTACTCACTTACTCGGCTGGCCACTGCGAGCGTTCATGCCAGGACGCCATGCCTGGGAGGTCAGAGTCAGCATCGGCGCTGGCGTATGCGTGGTCGAGGGCGGCACAATTCAGCAGAATTCAGCTCTGCTCCGCTCAGCCCCGCTGAGTCCGGCCCCGTCCCGCTTCATTCTGGGCCTGCCGGCCCGAGGGCCCCTCACTCGGGCCCGTGGTCGGTCTTGCGAAGGCCTCGCAGGAGCTGCCTTCTAACCCACCGCCCGTCAGGCGACCTGGCGGCGGCAGGGGCCGAGGGCGAACAGCATGTCCGTGTCCGCGGCCTCGCGGCCCGGGCCCCCGGGCCGCAGCTCCGCGGAGGCGGAGCGCTGTTTCGCGGATGTCCCGCGCGGAGAGCATCCGTGCGATCGCGTATCCGCGGCAGCGCGCCCCAGGATCCAGACCGCGAGGGCGCGGCTGCGGATGTGTTCGCCGCTCGTGGAGTGGGGGCGAGGCCCCCCGCGCAGTGCCCTCAAACACAAGGACGGCGACGGCCAGGTCGGCCTCCAGGAGCTCGCTCCCCACCGCGCGCACGCGCTGGCGACCCTCAAGAAGTGGGCCCGCGGGCACCCGAGCCTGGGGCACTGCGCCGCCATCTGGGAGAGCACCCCGGCGCAGCGGGAGCTCGAAGAAGAGCCACTGCACAAGCATGACTGTTCGGAGCTCTGCGTAGATCTCTTGGATCGGCGCTGGACCTCCCTGGCCCTGGCGGCGCCTCCAGCGCCGCCCCTGGCGCGCCCCGCGCGCCAGTCAGGGGGGTCCAGCACCGCTCCAAGAGATCCGCGCGGAGCTCCGAAAGGTTCTGTTTATGCAGATCCTCCTCCCTCCAGGAGCGCGAGAACAGCGCCGAGCGGGGCAAGTGGACGGGCACTTCCACGGCCCGAATGAACTTCAGCTCGTTCCGCAGGGTCCTCGCCGCGCTGGGGCGCTCGGGGGTGGCAAGAGCGCAACACGGCACAGCCGTTCAGAGGTCCGCGCGGATCTCGTCTGGACTTTTGGCGCTGTGGACCCCCCATCTGGCAGAGTCCGATTTAATTATGTTTCACCCCGCTCAGTTCGGCGAAATGCCATGCTGAATCTGGCCCGATCTGGCCTGGTGTCCCCTTGATCAGGCTCAATAGCCCCGACTTAACAGCCCCTCCTATGAAGCCTTCAATCGTTCTTGCGAAGGCCTTCCAGCTTCCTAGCGTTCTCTCCTTGTTCCTCGAGCTGCCCCGCAGTGTCAGAAGAGGAGTCCCGAGGCCCAGGATCCGACGTAACGGAAAATAGCAACATCGCTAACAAAGACTCGACCAGAGCCCTTGACCCTTTCTGTCTGCTGAATTTTCCGAGCCAGAACGATCCCTGAGGGTCCCAGGGCCCGAAGTTGTGCGAGATCGTTCGTCTCGAAACGAGTGCGACGCCAGGATCCCAGGCTTGTTCCCCTAGGTACCCCGCCGTGTCGGACAAGGAGCACCGGGGCCTGCTGATGACGTCCCTGGACCTCATGGGCTGCGGCTTCGTGGAGCGCGGCGACCTGCTCTGGCTCGACGGCTGGGACGCCCCGGAGTGGATATCCGCCGAGCCCGATGAGGAGGCGTGGAGCCAGCTGAGGCGCGACCAACGAAGCCATGTGGCGATCTGATCTCGGCATCTTGTAACCAATCCCCATCCCCGTCCCCCTCCCCTTTGGGACCCCCACCAAGTTACCACCCCAGTTGGGGATACACCCCTCCTATATCCCCATCTATGAGGATAAATCGGCCAGTGGGGCCACGCCGCTGGGGATGGGGATCGGTTAAACGATCCTCATATGTGACGATCTGATCTGCTCCTTCCTCCCGTCGTTGTCTCATACTGCGGCTGTCGCGCTACCGCTGTTGGCTCGAAGAAGAGCACATGGCGTAAGCATGAACTTCGGAAGCCCTGCGCGGGTTTCTCGGATTGGCGCTGGGCTCCCCATGGCGCGCTCCGCGCGCCTGGGAGGGGGGCCCAGCGCATGTCCAAGGAATCCGCGCGGAGCTCCGAAAGTTCCTGCTTGCGCAGTTCTCTGTTCCTCCACATGCGGCGGTCTGATCTGATCATCCCGCTCGTCGTCTCCGCCTACTCGTCCTCACCCTCCCTCCCCGGAACCCGTCGCGTCGGGAAAAAATCGCGACGGAAGGGTTCCTGCGATGTTCGGCCTCTGGGCGCCCCCGTCGGGCCCCAGGACCGTCAAACAGTGACGCGCGACGAAAAGCCGGTCCTGGGGAGTGGGCGGAGACGTGCAGGGTCCGCGCTGTGAAACGAGCATCTCGACGTTAGGGGTATGGGTCCTCCTCGTCCTCGTCCTCCTCGGCTTTCTCAGTCGAGCACCACCCCCTGCCTGGAGGTCTCCCTGGAGCTCTGGAGGTCCCACGGGGGGGGGGGACCGGAGGTCCCTCGAGCCGGGGGGCCCACTAGAGGTCCCCCCGACGTTTCTAAGCATCTGAAGCGGGCGTAATTGATGATGAACGTGCAGGGTAGCTGGAAAAAGTCGAAGGGCTGGCAGCCCTTCCACTCTTTCCAGCTTTTGCTAGTTTCCTCCAAGTTTTCCAGCCCTGGCGACATTCCAAATTTTTGGGCCTGTTTACTTTCAGATCGAGCCAGTTTTTCTCAGCCCTGGCCTGTTCGACGTTTATTCGGTGGCACCTGGTGCACTTCGCCTACCTGGTCTTCCTCTACCTCACGGGCGTTGACCTGGTCGCGGCCCTCCCCACGCAGCACTCGAGGATGGTGATCCTGGCGCGCCGTTGACGGCAACACCACTTCACTCTCCCTCCGGGACTTCGCCCCCGGCTCCTGTCCAAGGCGTACCTTTCCCTGTGCAAGCTCTTCGGCACCGCCTGTACTCCGCCCCCTCCGGCCGCCTGAGGCCCCGCCCGCCCGCGCCCTGTCTCCCCAATTAGTGCTTCGCGCGCCCCGCCTAGCTCTTAACCGGAAGAGGCCCGCTCTCGACCCGCCGACCAACAAAAAATTGTTCGACGTTCATGGGATTCCCAACCTGTACTTGGTTCCGTTTCTTTGTGCTTAACCGAAACAGTTTATAAAGTGTTAGCCAGCGTGGACCCCAAACAGTAGGCTGTTGCGCCATTGATGTGCAATATATGTTTCACAAGCCACGTCATGCGTCATGTGTATTGCAATCGATGCGATGTCATATATGTTGTGCAAGTTGTGTGGTACAATCTACGTGATGACATATCTATGTATATATATAGATATGGTGGACGATGTGTGATGCAAACTCTGTTATGCAATATGCGCGGTGCAGCCATGTGATGCACTCTGTGGTGCAAGCTATTCGCTTAAGTCGCGTGATGCGCTGTGTGAATGTTGCAAGCTCTGAGTTGCAAGCTATCCAGCTGCCTGCGGCAAACCCCGTCACCGCGCCTGTGCACCAGCGTAGCAGAAAAAAAGGCTGAGTGTAGGAACAGCGCCACTCCGACGAGTAGTCTGCAGTGGGGCGGGTCATGATCCCGACCTCGTCTTCGTCCGCGCGGAGGGGGGGAGGAGGAGGGGGAGGAGGAGGAGGGGGAGGACGAGGAGAACGAGGCGGAGGATTCTTCATATCTGGTCAAAGTCAAGAGGAGGAGGAGGCGGAGGAGGAGGAGGAGGAACAGGACCATTGTAAATCCACGACTCATGAACGATGTTGCAGTAAACCCTCCCTCCAATCTCCCTCTTCATAGGCCCCGGAAAGGATTTATTCTCACTAAATGGAGTGCCCCCGTGAGATAGCAGTCGTTTGAAAATCTGGACCTGTGTAAGAGCGCCATTAGTTGGACTTCAACGCCGAGTATCACCATTATTGTTGCGTCGTGGCGATTCTGGGCAGTGCCAAAAAAACATTGTTGGGATTCCGACACCACGAGTCAACGTAACCGTTGCGCTCTGACTGTCCGGCATCGGGCCTTCAGTTTTAAGTGAAGCGTTAGTCATACGATCATCGACATTGGTGTAAAATGTTTAAGGAGAATCTGCGCGGCGCTCGGGCAAGAGCAAGAGTTTCAGAAAGGACAGGGCTTCTACCAGTGAGGCCGAGGCACTTTGGGTATGACGAACATGTGCGGCGCTGAGGAGAGATCCACATTTTAAAAACCACTTGCCCTCCATATTTAAAACTGTTGCAAGTCTAGACGCTTCGCGTATCCCACCAGCCCATCCAGAAACGATGTCCAGGCGAATTGAGGTGATCAGGGAAGTGCGGGAGCAAAGAGGTGGACGGCCGAACCGTGCGAAGGAGGGAGGAGGAGGAGGAGAAGGCTGGATGGATGGATATGGGAGTGGGGAGCAGGAAGATGAACATGATGATGATGATGATGATGATGATGATGATGATGATGATGATGATGATGATGATGATGATGATGATGATGATGATGATGATGATGATGATGATGATGATGATGATGATGATAAGGAGGGGGAGGAGGAAGAGAAGGAGCAGGAGGAGGAAGGAGGAGCAGGAGGAGGAGGGCAAGCAAAAGGGCCAGGGGTCTCTTGGATGCCTCTCGGAGCCTCTTGGGATGTATCTTGGGCGCGTCTTGGAGGCCTCTTGGGACGTCTTAGGGGTCTCTCGGCGGTCCTGGGGGGCTCTTGGGCGTCTTGGGTGTCTCGGGGTGGGGGGGCTCTTGGGGCCGCTAGGGGTCCTCTTGGGGGCCTCCTGGGGGCCTCTTGGGGCTGTCTTCGAGCAATCTTGGGGTCATCTTGGAGCCTCTTGGGGCCTCCTTGGCGCCTTTTGGGGCCATCTTGGAGGAGATCGATCCATGAAGGGAGGAGCTTTAAGTTGCCCCCCCCCCCCCCCCCCTTGGGAGCCCCCCCAAAACACCTCTTGGGCCCCTCTTGGAGAGATCTTGGAGCGCTCTTGGGGCCTTCTTGGGGCTCTCTGGGGCCTCTTGGGGCCCTCATGGGCTCTCTTGGAGCTGTCAGGAGGCCTCGGCAGGCCATCGGAAGCGAAAAGGCGAGAATGCAACATGTGTTGATTTGCCATGGCTTTTTTTGTTATTAATATAATAATATAAGAAAAAAGGATTTGGGCTTCCTTGCGGCCTCCTGCGGAGACTCCGTGGCCGCTCGGAGCCGTCGTGAATCGGTCTTGGGGCTTCTTGGAGTACCTTGGGAGCCATCTTGACGCATCTTGGGACCTTTGGGGCAATCTTGGAGGTCATCTTGAGCTCTCTGAGGCCCTCTTGGGCCATCATGGAGCCCTCTTGTGGAGTCCCTGGACAGCGCCGACAGGGCGCTGTGCCGGAAGGCATATAAGGAGGGGCATGTCAGGCCCTTGGCTGCAGGAGCGGTGAAGACCGCCGCAAGATGCACCACGGGAAGTGACAAGAGCTGAGCGTGCGCTCGCACGTGGACGAAGTTTCACACACACCTTGAGACGCCTCGAGCCTACCTTGGGAAGCAAAAAAGGGCCATTTGGACGCTCCAACGACACGCGAAACGCCCCGTCCAGGTCCAGGGGAAGGGGTAAGGGGGAGGGGTAAACCCTTCCTCGAAGGGGAAGAGGGAGGGGTGGAAGAGGAAACGCCCTAAACCGCCTACGCCCAGAGGGCTGGTGGGATTTTGTATGACGAGTGTGCGCGGCGCTAAGGCGAGAGCCACATCTTGGAAACGGCCTGTCATTAAACCATGTAGCTCCTGCAACTGTTTAGGACGAGTGTACGCTGTGCTGAGGCGAGAGCCACATGTTCGAGACGACCTGTCCTCCACCCGTGAAGCTCTTGCAGATGTTTCAGACGAGTGCGCGCGGCGCTCAGGCGAGAGACATAGTTTGAAAAAAACACCTGGTCTCCATCCGTGCAACCCTGGCAATCGTTAATTTCGAACGCGCGCGGCGCCAGAGCGAGAGCCACACTCTGAAACCCGCCCGCCCTCCCTCCGTGAAGCTGTTGCAACGTAAGCTTCGTGATCATACGTTGTGCGGGAGCCTCGGGCGAAACGGCCGGCCCGCCTTTCCGAGCGGCCTCGGGGGTGCGACAGGAAGGCGTTGGCCATAAGGAACAGGAAATGGAGGAGGGGAAGAGGGAGAACATGAGGAGAAGGAGGAGAAGGCTCCGTCGGGCCTCGTTTGGGGCTTCCGGGGGGCCTCCCTTCCTGAAAGTTTCTTGGGAGCCTCTTGGGCGCCTGATGGAGCCTCTTGGGGGCCTCTTGGGGCCCCCTGGGCCATCTTAGGGGATTATGGGCCCGCCTGACGCCTATGGAGGCCGCCTTGGACGCCTCTCTAGGCCGTGTCCGTGCCCTTTTGGAGCGGTTCACGGTCGTCTTGGGGTCCTCTTGGGAGCCTTTGGGCGATCGTTGGATCATTTCGGGTTGATGTCAGGCCTTGTTGGGGTTCTCTTGGGCTGCCTTGGAGCTATCTTGGAGGCCTCCTGGAGGCTTTTTGGGCCGTGTTGTGCGATCGGAAACCCGAACAGGCGAGAACCTCAAACCCTTTCTACAAACCGCAGGAGAATCAATTGTGTTGGCTTCCTCGGGCTCTCTAGGAGGGCCTCATGGAGCCCTTTTGGGCCGTTTTGGGGGCTTCTTGACTTGTTTCGCGGTTGTCTCGGGAGCCTCTTGAGCCCTCTCTGGCCATCTTGGGCCATCTTGGTGTCATCCCGGCTGCCTTGAAAGCCGTCCTGGAGGCCATGAGGCTCCCAAGAAGGCATCAAGACATATCAATCGGCCCCCAAGACGGCCCAAGAGGTCTCCTAGAGGCCGTCAGGGGGAGCCCGAGGAGGCCAACACCATTGATTCCCTTCGGGTGCTCGAAGGATCTTGATATTCTGGCATGTCTGGGTTCCCGACCACCCAGGACAGCCCAAGAGGCCTCTCTGGGCAGCCTTGTTGCTCTCGTATAGCGCTTGCAGGCCTTCTTGGGGCCCTCTTGCGAGCCCCTTGAGCAATAGTTGGGTCCGCTTGGCCCGCTTGGGGGCCTCTTGGGCTGCCTTAGAGCTACCTTAAAGGCCTCTTGGGCCGCCTTGGGCAGTCGGAAATCCGAACAGGCGAGAACCTCAGCATCTCTCAAACACCTCAGTGGAATGAATGGTGTTGTCCCCCTCGGGCTCCAGGAAGATCCCTTGAAGCTCTCTCGGGCCGTCTTGGGGGCCTGTTTGGCTGTCTTGAAGTCCTCTTGGGGGCCTGTTGGCCGTCGTGAGGCTGTCTTGAAAGGCTCGTGAGCTGTCTTGGACCATCTTGACCCGTTCTGCTGTCGTTTTGGTTGTCTGTTAAGTGTCTTGGAGGCCATCTTGGCGGTCTGGAAGCCGAAACGACCGCCATAATGCAATTTCAAGAGGAGGAGATGGTTCAGGGTGTCCTGTGGGCCGAGGGTGGGGGTGGGTGGATCCCCAGAAAACTGCACAAAACCTCGCAGTCTAACACGCCCACTCCGTGCAGGCACGGTGGCGGACGTGGCAAGCTGTGTGATGCAGTCTACTTGGTCAGCGCTAGATGGTGCCAGCTATGTAGCGCACGGGAAGCCCACGGGGCACCCACGGCCGCCCACCATGCGAAACTTTGGCAGACCCAGCCAGCGCGCACGGGGCGCCCACCAGAAGCACACGGCCGCCCTTCAGGCGAAACCCTGGCACACCCAGCCAGAGCACCGAGCGCCCAAGAGGCCCCAACGGCCGCCCGCCAGGCGAAACCTCGGCATACCCACCCCACTGGCTGATCAACAGGGGAGCAAGAGCTCCTGAGCGAAAGCGTCTCCTGGGGGAACGCTGCCCTGGAACTATGCTGACCCCCTCGGCGCCCGGGCGCTACCGCCGCCCGCTCCCTCCGGCACGGAGGGAGCGGAGGGCGGCGGCGGCGGCCCCGAAGCCCCGAGGGACGGGCAACGGCCGTCGGCCGAGGGGCGTCCCGACTCTCCGCTGAAGGCATCCGAGGGCCGCTATTCGGCCGGCACTGGCGCTCGTAGTCTTAGCAGCTGTCGTGATCTGGAGGGCACAGCCTCGGTCTCCTGAAGCTGGGCCCAGGCGCCTGTCCGCAGCGGTGGGCAACGGTGGGCGCTTGCCTGTTCGGTGGTCGTCCCTGTCCCCGTCTCGCGACCTCGCGGAGGCGGGGCAAGGGCCAGACGGAGGAGTAGTCGAGGGGGGAGAGGCGAAGAACAATGATCTGTACTTTTTGAGGGGGGGTGAGGAGCAGCAGCAGGGTCCTGAGTAGGAGGAGCAGCAGGGGCATGATCGGAAGCAGAAGGACGATGGGAAGGAGGGGCAAGGAGGAAACGGTGGTGACGGAGGGTGTAGCAGGGGGGGGGTCATGTTGCCGCACAGCCTTGTCGACACTGCTGAGGAGCCTCCTGGAGCAGAGCTGTGGCCATCTACTCTGTGCCTGGACGCAGCTGCTGGACCAAGACAGCTCCAACAAGATCTCCTGGGACGAGTTCGAGCAGGCCTCGATGGGGATGGAGTGGACCCATCACATCTGGTCGCCGCGGAAGCATTTCATGGCAGCAGTGTTGTCCCGTCTGTTTCGTCCTCGGCGGGTTCGAGCGGGCCAAGACGAAGCGACTGGGGGCAACGACCGGCAGTAACTCCTGCTCGGTTTGGGCTGGGCCCGCTGTCAGTTCAAAGGTAAGCGCGGTCCGTCCATGTCGGCAGTTGTCCTCTGCTCAATAGCAGCCGCCTGGTCCATTTACACGCTGGTCGTTGAAAGTAGATATCTCTGGATTCCCAGATCTGAATCTACTTCAAGCGCCGTCTTACCGATATGCGTTTGCTGTGCTTTGCTATTCTCTGGGAGGGTCTGAACCCAATCTACTTTACCCGCCTTGTACTTCATGTTTTTACCCACTTCTTCCGACCGACGTGTGTTGCAGCCATTTGCTGCCTGGCATCGTCCCTAACGGTTACGGTCCAGATTGTTTGCCCCAGGGGCATTTGCAACATTTGTTCTTGCACTCTGAGCCTGAATTGTCAGCCTGGTTGGTCCGAAGCGTTTTTCGGAAGGGCTCGCCTTCGAGGAAACGAAGGTTTGACCATCCCTCCTCGGCTTCCCGCCCCGTTGAGCGGAGCGACTCGTTGTCCGCTTGCAGGGCACAGCGTGTAGCTGGGGCCGCCGCCGCGACACGCTGAGCAAGACTTCCCGTCCTCTAAGTGGATGTTCTTTCTTGTGCCTGACATGTGTTAGGTGCGGATTCATCCCGGATTTGACCTGGATTCGACGCGGATTCGACGAGGATTCGATGTAAATTCGGCGCGGACTCAACGCGGTTAGGGGCGCGACGGGACAGACAAAGTTTCCCGAATGTGCAACATGAACATGGTGTTGTCCTTACCTTGGGCGCGCCGAAGGGGGCGTTGCTGAACCTCGGGGTCATCGAACAATGGCACGCGGCGAAACCAACGTGTACCCCCGGTGATGGGGTCGAGATGTCCAGTGGTTCACGTGGCGAGAAAGCCACGACGTCGGGGGTGCTGCGGGGACGGAGGAGGCGACGGCAAGGGGAGGCGGACGCGGCAGGGGGCAGTCACGGTGAGGAAGCTTGGCTCGGCGTATGGCGCAGCCGGTTCTGGCCCACCGCGCTTCGCAGTGATACGCTACTCCAGATTTCGTAATAAAAGGGAGGGGGGTTGGACCCTCCAAGACAAGCCATTTCAGACCCCCCCCGTGGGAGAACCCTCCAAAACATCGTCCCCAGACCCCCCCAGGCCCTCCAAGGTAGCCTGGATGAGACCCCCCCCGAAATGAGACCCCCCTCCCTTTATTACGAAATCTGGAGTATCCACGTCACCGGCCCCAAGCGTCAACGTTCGGAGCCTTTCCCAGCCTCCCGCTGCGCGGAGCGGAGCGACGCGCTATCCGCTTGCAAGGCTCAGCGCGTCGCTGGGGCCGGTGCCGCGACACGCTGAGCAAAAGTTCCCGACCGTATGTCCTCCCATCTGGTACTCGGCATCTTCCACGTCTTGTTCCTTGGGCTCCTGCATTCCATACCCCTCACCCGCACGGCGATCACACCTTCAACAACACTTCTGTCATCGGTGCTGCTTCTGCACCGCGGCAACGGGGCGGCACCCCACAGGGACGCGCGCTCCCAGCTCCCATCCCTCCCCGTCCCCCCTCCTCCCCGTGCCTCTTTCCCCTCCATTTTTCTCCAGGCCCCAGCGGGAGAGGGGGAAATGGCGGAGCAGGAGCGGGAGAGGGAGGAGGGCCATAGAAGGAAGCGGAGCAAACGGTTGCCCGCAGCCCGCACCCCTGCCACACCTCGGTATAATGATGCGGATGAGGAGAAGCGGACGAGGGTGGGGAGTGGTCACGGCGTGCAAGAGCGGGGGAAGGAGGGCCTTGAGCTCTGAGAAGGAGATGTGTGTTTGGTTCCGTTGCCCGCTCGCGCAAGAGCATATATCCACCGTGAGCCCAAGCGTGTGTCGCGGGCGGCTCGACCTGGTTCGATGCAGACACTTCGACGGTCTTGTGCGGACCGATGTCTGCGCGACGTTGCTGTGCATTGTGGCGTTGCCGATCCGACTTGATTTCGATTCGGCGCCGATGGGGCCCGACCCGACGCACCTGCTGGTTTGATCCCGTTTCCCGACTCGACTCGATCTTGATGGGTTTTGGTTGGGCAGCAGCAGCAGGATGAGATGAAAGTGAGAGCAGGCATGCAGCCGCATCAAGTTCAGCGGCAACGTCGCTGGTGCCTGGAGGGTGCTCGACGAGGACCTTTCCGGCTACATTACAATGAACGAGTTCGACCAGCCCAGCGCCGATTTGTTGAGCTCTTTCAAGAGCTGGACCGAAAGGTACCTCGGCTCGGAGATATGCTCCTTCAGCATCTCCTCCCAGAGATTCCTTGCAATCAAAGAGCCCCAACAGTCCTGGCGAAAGACCCATCCATAATTGTGCAACTGTGAGTGCCGCAAGGCCGGTGGGACGAAGGAGGGGGGGAGTTCCCAATGTGGCCACGAAGCGTGTGAGGAGTGTGCCGACATGGGTGGGGGAACGCATGCAAGCGCAGCTATCGGGGGCCACGAATCGCGTGAGGGATGCGCCGACATGGGTGAGGTGCCGCAATGTGGTCCCGGCTGCTATGGCCTTTGGTTGAGCTCCCCATGGGGCCATAAAAAGTGAGGGGTGTGCCGTATCGGGGGCGGGTACGCCATGCGAACGCAGCCACTGGGGCCTTCGGTGGAGCTCTCTATGGGACCACGAAGCGTGTGAGGAGTGTGCCAAATCGGGGGCGGGGGCGCCACGCGAGCGCAGCCACTTGGGCCTTCGGTGGAGCGCCGCAGAGGGCCACGGAACATGTAAGGAGTGCGGGAGTGTGCCGCATCGGGCGCGAGTGCGAACACAGCCGCTGGGGCATCGGAAGGGGTGATGTGCTGGAGGAGCAGAGGACGCAGGGCGATGCGCATGCAATAATGGTGGAGGATGGGGTCGTGTTCACGCGGCGGCGCCTGGGATGACGATTAGAAAAAACCAGCCGCGGGCTGGAACACTATTCTTTGTAATCGTTCTCCTCCAGTCAGAAAGTTCTGCAGAAATAGCAAGAAACTATGTTTTTAATCGTTCCCCTCAATTTTTTAATTACTCGTCATCCCGCAACAGCGAGGACCCAAAACACCACAGGACCGGCGGGCACGAAAAGCAGAAGCATGATATGCCGGAGGTCTGCCCCCGAGGTCTGCGAGCGTCGCGCTGGGCCCCTGCGGCGACTCCGGAAATCGGCGCCTGGTCTCCGACGGTATCTGTGCCTGTATACGTTTGGCACCTTTTCAGGAGGGGAGAGAGCGAGCATTTTCTTCGGGTGGAGGGCAAAGGGTGAAGTCTGAAATGCCGTTTCGATTGGTTCTCGAGGCTTGAATCTGCAAGAGGTGAATCACAAGACGGATTTATTTTCGAGGTGCAAAAGTCCATATGGATTTCACCCTGAGCCCTCCACCCTAAGAAAATTTTCAGAAAGAGCACACACAGACACGATCTCATCGTCGAATCCCCAGAACATATGGGAAAGTATGGGAGGTGGCGGGGGGAAGACAACAGCCCAGGAAATACTGGAAAACATACATGGGGGATCTCGCTAATTGTGTGTGTGTGTGTTTGTTGGTGTGTGTCCCTGGGCCCCTGGAGCCTTGTCGACCGCCCAGGTGGGACCCCACCCCCCCAGGGGGCACCCGGAGCCACCTTCCCCCGCCCTCCGCACGCCCAGCCCCCTCTCCGGCGCGTCTCCAGCGTGGGGCACAGAGGAGCTCTCTTTCGGGAGGCCGGAGGCCCTCCGAGAAGCCCCGCTCCTCCTCCTCCTCTTCCTCCTCCTCCTCCTCTTCCTCCTCCTCATCTTCCTCCTCCTCATCTTCCTCCTCCTCCTCCTCCACCTCCTCCTCCTCCTCTTCCTCTTCACCGGGGGCGCCCCCCGAGGGCGCGGAGTTGTTCGCGCCTCGCGCGTCGCGCTTCGGCTCCGATTCCTCCTCGGCCTCCGCTGCTCCCCCTGGGAGGCGGCGCGGGAGCGCGGAGCCCTTCGCCTGTCGCGCCTCGCGCGCGCGGAGCGCAGAGTTGGGAGCCCTTGCCTCACTTCCCCCCCCCCCGTCGCCGCCGAGCCTCGTCCCCTCCCCTGGAAGTCTGGGCCCTCCTCTCAGAATCGACCCCCAGAGGACCTCTCTGGGGTGCGCTCTGGCCGGAATTCCGAATTCGAACCCAGCCTGGCGATGCGAGCGCTCCAGGAGGCCTGGGCAAGGGCAACAACGCGAAGAATTGTTCTCGCGTTCCCTTCTCGCTGCGTTCCACTCCCAATCAAAAAAGTGCCGGCGAGGTACTTCGGCTCGGTGAGCCTGTGGTTCGAGGCACTCGACGCCCATAATCAAGGTTGGGTCGCGCTGGCCGATATGAGGCGCGCCTTCAGGACCCACCCGCATCATCAATGCCGTCGTCGTCCCCGTCATTCGAAGAAGGAGGAGAAGAGAGAAACAACAACAACGACAGCAACAACAACAACAACAGCAACAACAACAACAATAGCAGCAATATCATCAACAACAGTAGCACAACCATGACAATCATCTTAAGACTGCTCGCTCTTATCTGCTCGCTTGCCATTCAACATATATATATATATATCCCGACCCCCTCGATACCCGCCCTCTTCGTCTTCGATCGTACCCCCTTAGGGGTGTGTCTTCCTTACCTGCAACATTTATTTCGTGAAGCCCCTAAGGCAGGGGAAGAGAGGACGGATGGAAGTCAGGGACAAGGGGCAGGCGGGTTGCTGAAGCGTGCGTGTACATGCATCGCGAGGAAGTCTCGACCGATAGCGCGATTCACAAAAAGATCGTGCGGAAATCCACAGCGAGAGCGATATCGAGGGCGCGACGTCTGAATGAATTGCAAGGAAGTCCCATGGCAATGCATTGCGAGGAAGTATCAGGCGGGAGCCATGGTTGCTATTGATGATCATGCTGATGATGATGATGATGATGATGATGATGATGATGATGATGATGATGATGATGATGATGATGTTGTTGCTGTTGTTGTTTTCCCACGACTGAAGAGTACTTATTGTTGATGCCCCCTCTGGTGACCATTCTATTTTTTTCAGTTGAAGTGCTTCCCCAGGGCTCGCACCTTGTTTTTTTCCAGGGGAAGTCACTCGGCTCAAACTGGGTTCTTGGCTCCCGGACTACAACAACAACAATCATGTTAATCTTGTTCGCTCTTATCTGCTCGCGCGTACCTCGCCACGTATATCCCAAACCCCCAAACCCCCAATACCTTGCCACGTATTTCCCAAACCCCAAACCCCCAAATACCCGCCCCCTACAAGAGAAAGAGGAGTGAGAAAGGAGAGAGAGAGAGAGAGAGAGAGAGAGAGAGCGACAGAAAGAGAGGGATAAAGAGAGAGAGAGAGAGAGGAAGCGATGAGGAAAGGAGTGGGGGAAGGGAGGGAGGCAAAGGACAAGAGGGAGGGAGCAGAACTGCGGAAGAGAGAGAAGAGAAGGTGGGGGGCTTCAGAGAGTATCCCGAAAACAAGCGGCAGACCCAGACGGTTGGGTCGGGCAATGGTCCTCAACGGGCGGGTGGGGCGGGCGGGGCCTGCAGACCCGCGGGCGGACCCTAACGGGCGGGTCGGCGTGCGGGAAGTGAAGGCACCCGGCGAGCTTCCAAGCGAGCCGCCGGGCCTGCCGTCACAGGCAAGTCAGGCGGGCGGCCCTAATGGGCGGGTCCGGCGGGTGGATCAAAGCGTGAGTCTTGAACGAATTATGAGGATGTCTCAGGCGAGAGCGTGCGGGTACATCTTCATTACTTGGCACGTGTAGTTGGCGCGGCGCAGACCCTGAAACAAAGAGGGGAGACAGGAACGAAGAGAGAGAGAGAGAGAGAGAGAGAGAGATTGTGAGGGATACTTGGAGGACAAGGATGAAGCACGAATGGGATTGACAGGAGGCCAGCTAAGAGCAGGAAAACAAGCGAATGAACTAGACGGGCGGGTGGCGGGCGGACCCCGACTGTCGGATCGGGCGGGCGTCACAAGTTGTGAGTCGAGTCAGTTTGCGCCATGGCTCGAACACGATAGTGCAACATAAGTTAGCAATGGGTTTCGCATGCGATGCGCCATGAGGTGTGCTATGTACCATCCCTTGAGAACGAACGACGACTACAAGAATGAAGGGCCTCTGGAGCCAGGGGGAGCGAGGGGGCCTGGGGCCAGGGCCAAGGATCTGGGCGGGGGGAGGGCCAGTAGTGAGGCTGGTGGAGTGGGGAAGGCAGTAAGACTGATCAGTGACAAGGTACGTAATTACTCCGATGCCCTGCGCGGTCTGGCGGAGCCTCCCTGGAGGGCCTCATACCACGAAGCCGAAACATAAAACGTATTGCGAATGCTTGATGCGGTTTGGCGGTGCCTCCCCATAAGGCCAGATGGAACTGATGGGGCGGCTGGCAAAATAAAGAAGGCACGAAACCCAGTGAACAACACGTTGCTCCCATGCTTGCCGTTGTCTGGCAGGGCCTTCCTGGAAGGCCACGAAGGGCAGCAATGGGGCCACTGAGGGCACGAGCGACTGGGGGGCCACGAAGGGCATGTATATGGGCCACAAAGGGCAGCGAGGGGCCACTGAGGGCAGCATCGGGGCCACGAAGGGCAGCGACTTGGCCACAAGAGGAGGGGCCACGAAGGGCAGCATTGAGGCACAAAGGGCGCGAGTGAGCATCGGGCACGAAGGGCATGACCCTGACAGGCGGGCCGAGCGGGCGGATCGATCGTGAGTTCTGCGTGATTTGCCAGGAAGTTTCCAGCGAGAGAGCGAGTCCTGAGTAAACTTGAACGTGTCCCCAGCGAGCGCGCGGTTCCTGAATGGCTGGAGCGCGGCGCCGGAGCAAATTGCGAGGAGGTCTCCGGCGGGAGCGCGATTCTTCAGTATCAACGGCACCGTAACGGGTATTTACTAACGGGTACTTTGAATGTTTGCCGAAAGTTGCCATTTTAGGGCCTTTTTCTTGCATTGCAGCTTTGCCCACATCGGGAAGGGTTGGGTTCGCTGGGTCAGTGGCCAAAGTACCCGTTAGTGGAGTCCCCTTTCGAGGGGCGCTGGGAAGCGAGGAAGTCTCAAGCGGGAGCGGGGGGCCGGAGTGAGTCTCGAGGAAATATCAAGCGGTAGCCGTTGTTGTTGTAAACCGGGGGCCAGGGGCACAGTTTGAGGAAGAAGCTTTGCCCTGGTAGTAAACAGGGGGCGAGCGCCGGGAGGGGCACTTCAATTGAACAAATACGATGTGCACCGGAGGAGGGGGATCAACAATATTTGTTTTCCAGTAATGAGAATTCAACGGCTCCCGCCTGAGATTTCTTCAAAATTTAGCCAGGACCCCCGCTCCCGCCTGAGACTTCCTCGAAGTGTATTCTGGAATCGCGCTCTCGCCTGGGAGGACCTTACACTTTATTCAGGAATCGCTTGAGTCGCACTCCCGCTGGAGACTTGCTTGCAATTTGCTAAAGCGTCGTGCTCTTGCGTTGGAGTTCCACGCGGTTTATTCAAGCGCCGCGCCCTTGACGCTAAGGCACCCAGGAGTCGCGCTCACGCTTAGGATTCCCTTACAGCTCACTTAGGAATCGGGATCTCGCTGCCCTTCGTGGCCCAGCCCTTCGTGGCCCTCTCGCTGCCCTTCGCGGCCCCGTTGCAGGCCTGCGTGACCCCCTCGCTGCCCTTCGTGGCCCCGTTGCAGCCCTTCGTGGCCCGGTCGCTGCCCTTCGTGGCCCCGTTGCAGCCCTTCGTGGCCCCTTCGCTGCCTTTCGCGGCCCCGTTGCAGCCCTTCGTGGCCCCCTCGCTGCCCTTCGTGGCCCCGTTGCAGCCCTTCGTGGCCCCCTCGCTGCCTTTCGCGGCCCCGTTGCAGCCCTTCGTGGCCCCCTCGCTGCCCTTCGTGGCCTCGTTGCAGCCTTTCGTGGCCCCGTCGTGGCCCCATACATACGCATGCCCCTGGTGGCCCCGCGCTGTCGCCCTTCGTGGCCCCCTTGCTGCCTTTCGCGGCCCCGTTGCAGCCCTTCGTGGCCCCGTCGTTGCCCTTCATGGCCCCGTTGCAGCCCTTCGTGGCACCCTCTCTGCCCTTCGCGGCCCCGTTGCAGCCATGCGTGGCTCCCTCGCTGCCCTTCGTGGCCCAAATGCAGCCCGTCATCACACCCTCGCTGCCCTTCGTGGCCCCGTTGCAGCCCTTCGTGGCCCCCTCGCTGCCCTTCGCGGCCCCGTTGCAGCCCTTCGTGGCCCCCCCACTGCCCTTCGTGGACCCGTCGCTGCCCTTCGTGGCCCCCTCGCTGCCCTTCGTGGCCCCGTTGCAGCCCTTCGTGGCCCTCTCGCTGCCCTTTCTGGCCCCATATATGTATGCCCTTCGTTGCCCCCGCTCTCGTTCGCGCCCGTCGTGGCTCCATCTGCATGCGCTTCGTGGCCCTGCCGTCGCCCTTTGTGGCCCCGTCGCTGCCCTTCATGGTCCCGTCGCTGCCCTCAGTGGCCCGTCCCCTCGCTGCCCTACGTGGCCCCGTTGCTACTCTCAGTGACCCCGTCGTTGCCTTTCTGTAGCCCCGCATTCTCTGCCCTTCGTGGCACCCGCTCGTACGCGCCCGTCGTGGCCCCATACATACGCATGCCCCTGGTGGCCCCGCGCTGTCGCCCTTCGTGGCCCCCTTGCTGCCCTTCGTGGCCCCATCACTTCCCTTCGTGGCCCCGCTGTCGCTCTCGCTCTCGCTCGCGCTTTGGCTCGTCGTCGTCGTCGTCGTCGTCGTCGTGGAAGGTCCCCTGTCCGTCCCACTTGGGGTCGGGCTGCCGCCGGTCAGCGCTGCATCGAAGACGAAGATGGCGGGTATCGAGGTTTTGGGGAATACACGTTGAATGACACTCGGGCCGAGCAGAGCGAACAGTCTTTAACGCACTGTTGTTGTAGTTCGGTGCCCAACAACCCTGCTTGGTGGCCCTTCGCTTCCCCTTGTTTAAAAAGACAGGGTTCGACCCCCAGGAAAAACAATTTAGCTGACAAATGTAATGGTTACCGGGGGGTTCACGATTGCATTGTTCTTTCGTAGTGGGAACTCACAACAACAACCACGACGACGACGTCGACGACGTCGACGACGACGGCAACAGCAACAACAACACCACCACCAACAACATCAACAGCAACAACAACCACAACCACAATCACAACAACGACAACCATACTTACAACAACACTAGCAGCAGCAGAAGCAGCAGCAACATCAGCAACAACAGCAGCAACAACAGCACTGGCAACAACAACAGCAACAGCATAATAATGAACTTTCGGAGTTCCGCCTGGATTTCTTGGATCGGCACAGGACCCCTCCCTGGCGCGCGCCAGGGGGATGCCTGCGCCGATCCAGGAATTTCGCTCCGGCCTCTGAAAGGTGATGCTCCTTACGGTCAGATGCGCTGGCTCCTGTCATCGTGTCGCGCCGACTGTTCTGGCCCACCACGCTTGAGCGCGACACGTTAACAGCGCCCCGGTCCCCGAGCATGAGCGTGCCAAACCTTTCCCAGCACCCCGCAGCGCGGAGCTTAGCGACTCGCTATCAGCTCGCACGGCATGCCGCATCACCGGGAAAGCAAACGCTCTTGATCGTATGGTTTCATTGATTCTTGCCTTGCCCTCCGCTGCACTCCCCATCTGTCCCCCTCCCTTCTCCTCCTCCTGCTCCCGCGTCCCCCTCTTCCTCCTCCCACACGATCCGTTCCTCACTTTCGCCTCCCCCTTCTCTCACCTCTCTCCTCCCTTCTCCAGCTCCTCCTCTCTTCCCCGCTCGTCCTGCTATCCCCACGTCGTCCTCCACCCTGTTTCTTCCCCCAGTCATCCCCACCTGCCCCCCCGTCCTCCGCTTTCTTCGATTTGAAGGGGGCAAGTAGGAAAGGAGGAGGACGAGGAGGAGGAGGAGAAGCAGGAGGAGGAGGAGGAGGAGGCGGAGGTGGAGAAGGAGGCGTAGTATGAGGCGGAGGAGGAGGCGGAGGAGGAGGCGGAGAATGGGGAGGGGGAGGTCGGAGGTTGAGGGGTCAGGAGGGGGACGAGAAGGAGGCGAAGGGATTGAGATGCGGAGGTTGAGGAGGAGGAGGATTAGGCGGAGGAGAGGAGGACATCGTCGATGACGACCACACCTCCGACCTCCTTTCCCTCACCCTACCCACCCTCCCCTAACGTCGACGGCGGCAACGACCGACAGCAACGGCGGCGGCAACGACCGCGGCGGCGACGACGACGCTGGGACCACTTCGACGACGCGGGCGACCCCGTTGCCAGGAGGCACAGCTGGGACGGCGACGTCCGCCTCCTCTTCGACTGCCTGGCCACCAGTACCGTCGATCCGGGCAACGGTGCGCTGCAGATCTCCCAGTCAGGCCTCCGTCGTCGTCGTCGCTGTCACTGTCGTCTTCGTCGTCGTCCCCGTCGATCGATCGAGGACCGATCGAGTTTCGGAGGTCCAGGTTTTGGACGCTTTTGGTCTTTTCTGGGCCTGTGGGGACCCGTTGCCAGCACCGAAGGTGGCCTTTTGGCTGGCCCTCGGGGGCTCTTCAGGCGGCGGCGGGCTGCGGCGCCGCCGCCGCGGCCCATTGCGGTTTTTGCTGCTGCTCTACTCCTCTTCCCCGGAGACAGGCTACCGCCCACAGCCCCCAGGGGGGACATGGAAGTACGCGTCAGAGAGGGAGAGAGTAGGAGCAGAGTTGCATAAACATCAGGGTTCGTTACCATGTAAGCTCAGGCTATTTCCATACATGGTGCGCTGAGCACGCTCAGCCGCCAATAGGGGTCGAAGGCTAGTCCCTGATGGCGTATTGCTGAACAGATCTCTTGTCACAGTTTTGCATGTGTGGCGCCATCAGCTGAAACTTGAAAACGTTTCTTATCTCCGTTGTCGGCTAACGTGGAGGCTATCTTCACAAGAAGCTGACTGTACAAGGGCCGATGCTATTATTACGAACGATTGCAGAATTCACTGCCAAACATAGCAACTATGACGTGGTGGGACCAAACATATAACCCAGCGAAATACGGGGACTCTTGATGGCACTCTTGATGACTGTGCCCCATTGCAATACGGCTTCCGACATACATGTGCTATGTGCTGCCCGCGCATGGCGGAGCGCGGTGGTGACGATGATGACAATGATGACGATCATGATGATGAGGATTGTGATGATGACATGATGACGATTATGATGATGCAGATGACGATACAGATGATGAGGATGTTGATGATATTGGCAATGATGAGGATGATGGCGATGATGATGATGGTGATGATGATGATGATGATGACGATGATGAGTTTGATGTTGATGAGGTTTATGATGGGAATGATCATGATGGTGATGCTGCTGATGATGATGATACGGATTAGAACGAGAATGCAGATGACGATGACGATGAGGAAGGTGATGATGTTGATGATGATGACGTCGATGCTGATGATGATGATATTCATGCTAATGATGTTTATGATTTCGATAATCGTCGTCATCAGCTTCATCATGGCGATTGTAATGACGGTGCTGGTCGTGATTATGATGAGGACGGTGGTGGTGATGATGATGATGATGATGACGACGAGGATGGTTATGATGTGGTGATGATGATGACGATGACGATGACGATCGTAATGATGATAATGGTCTTGATGATGACGATGTTGCTGATGCTGATTCAAATTATGAGGAGGTTGCTTCTGAGAATGAGGATGTGGCTGAGGACGGGGATGTGGATCATGATGAGGAGGAGGAGGCAGAGGAGGTGAAGGATGATGATGAGAAGGAGGAGCATGGTTTGCCGCGCGGCGTGTGGTGGGGGGGGCGGAGGTCGACCCCCGCTGGGTGCGCCGCCGCCGCCGCTGACGTTGTCGCTGTCGGCGGCGTCGTCGTCGCCGTAGGCGTCCTTTGCTGGCTGCCCTCCCTTGTGCCAGCGCCGGCGCCAGGTGCGCCACCGCGCTGCCGCCGCCGCCGAGGTTGTTGTCGCCGTCGGGAGCGGCTGCGTCGTCGTCTTCGTCGTCGTCGTAGGCGCCCTTTGCTGGCGGCGAGTATAGGGGGAGTCCCCTTGGTGTTCCCCGGCGCGCTGGATGATCAGGTGGGAGACCCCCCAGTTCTGATGTGCCGCGGGATGCTCCCCAGAGCAAGCGTCCGCGAAACGCGTTCTCTCAAACAAAGCGCGCGCACAAATCGACCACAGATGCATTTGATACGTATGTTGCCTGGATGTTTTTTCAACGTTTGCTGGACATCGTTGGGCTTGATATGTCGAATGTCCGACGGCGCAAAGGCTTGAAGTGGGTTGACAAATTTTGCTGTCGACCGCCCATCGCCCAGGCAACGGCACGAGGAACAAGTCTAAGAAGGAGACCATGGTTCGGAGCAGTTCTGTGAGGAAGGTGATCGTGCTGGACACTCAGATCCAATGCCATCAAACAAAGCACGCATACAAGATTAGGACAATTTGCAACCTGGAGCTCTATTATCCTATGTTTCGGCACCGTTTCCCTGGGCGAGTCGATCCACGAGGGTCTCTGGGGCCCAGGGCGAGGCAAGGATCCTCCGCGAGCGGGAAGCACACATGCATCCACGGCCTCACGGGCCAGGCCGCTCGGCAGCGACCCCACGGCCATGGGGCGTTTTCCGCGGATGCCCCGCGCGGAACGCAGCCGTGCGGCCGCGTATCCACGGGCTCGCGCCCCGGAGTGCACCCCGCGAGGGCACGGGTGCGTTTGAACGCGCCAGGGGTGTTCACTGGATGTTTCCCCTGCCGGCTCTCGATCGTGGCGTTCGCAGTCGGTAGCCGTTTGACTCAGAAGGAGCTGAGCAGGCCGTCCGTAAGGCAGGTGTCTAGCGCGCAACTGCTAGGCTTCTGAGGCTGAAAAAGTCATCAGGTTGATCCTGTCGTGGCTTGTCAGGGCCAATATCAATCCGATCGGTGCGATTCGCCATCGGTGTTGATTTCGGCCGGCCCGATCCGATGTGCTCCCGATGCACCAGCAATCCCGAGCGGCCCGATGCTCGCATGGTGCTGCTGTGCATCCTGGAATAGCCGACTTTGATTCCGACTCGGTGCCGGTGCGGCCCGATCCGATGCTCATTCCGATCCGGACGGACTTCCGATATCTTCGCCTGACCTCTCCCGAGTTGCGTTTTGGGCAGGATCCCGATACTGATCCAGCCGGGGCGACGAGAGCTCTCCAGGACGAGCATCGAGGTCGGTACCTTTTCCCGATCCGATGCCGACCGATCCTGGTCTGTCTCAACGCCCCGATCTTGGAGGAGGACGTGGAGTTCCTGGACTCCTGGACGCTCCAGCTGCCCGAGGAGTCCCTGCTCCAGTGCGGCAGGGAGGAGAGCTGCGGCGGCAGCAGCGCTGGCAGCCTGAAGCGGCGCAGCCTCCTCGTGGGCCAGCCGCGACCGTCCACCGCGCCGGTGCCGCTGGCGCCCGAGGTGCCCGCGCGGCAGCTTGCCGCGCGCCCCGAGACGACGCCGCTGCCCAAGGCAGGGCCGCCTGCGACCCGATTCGGCGCGAAGCGGCTTGCCAGCCGGGGCCGCAGTTCCGATCCGATCCGATCCAGACCGGTTCGCCGGCATCGGCCTGGGGCCAGCGGGAGCCGGGCGCGTCGATCCAGCTTCGAGCAGAATCTATCGGACGATTCGTGGGCGGTCCGATCCGTTTGCGACCCGATCCGATCTCGCGGTCCGATCCTGTCCGGGCCTGCAAGGCCAGGATGGGGGAACGCATGGCGCTCCCCTCCCTGCCAGAGTTCAGGAGGGGAAAAAACACACAGACACAATTAATCGTCGATTTCAAGGAAAATATGGGAAAATATGGGAAGTGGGGGGGAGCCAAAAACCCAGAAACTATGGGAAAATATGGGGGATATTTTCATTTGTGTGTATTTATGTGTGTGTGTCCTGGGGCCACTTCAAGAGTTGAAAGCAGAGCGTTCTGGAGAATTGGCAGAGCCGTTCCGGAGCGCCCTGGAACGGCCGCGGCGCCGAAAACAGCCTCCATGCCCGCCAGCCTGTCCTTGCACTAGCTTTCCGGACCTCCGACGTTGCGTGTTTTTTGTCAACGTGGACCCCCGGCTGTTTGGATAGGGGGCCGCATGCGAACCCTACCCCTTCCCCCCCACGATTTCTGAGGGGGAGGGTGTGGTTCACTCTGTTCGGGAGCTCCCGAGCGAAGCGAACCCCACCCTCCCCCTCAGAAGTCGTGGGGGGTAGGGGTAGGGTTCGCAGGTGGCCCCCTACTGGACCTTTTTCCCGGGACCGGATTTTTCGTTCCCGAGTCATTTTTGACAGCGTCGGGGTCCAGCAAGGGCCCCCGTGGGCCGAAAGTTGGGAACAGGCTGTTCCTCCTTCTCCCCTCCTCCCTTGTTTCCCTTTTTCCCAGTTCTTCTCCTCCTCCTCCTCCTCCTCCTCCTCCGCCTTCCCTTCCTCTCCCTCGGTGTTGCGCGCGCTTGTTCCACATGCGGGGTGAGGAAGAACTCGGCTTTCAAGTGCAACCGCTGTCTCGCTTGCCTCTCTGGCCTCACCACGACGTCTTCAAATTAGCCTTCGGTGGTTGGCAGCATCCGCGTTTTGGCAGCCGCTGTGGAGGCATCTTGTTCGCGGGCATTTTCTCGATCCAGAAAAAACTAGTTGACGCAAGTTTTTCGTGCCGAACGGCCTGGGTGTGTCTTTTTCTGGAGGCCCTGGTGGGCGGTGTGCACGCCCTCCCCACACTGCAGGCGGAGGAAAGAAGAGCGGCACCACCACCACCAGGAGTGACACCTCCATCGATGAGGTCCACGAGCCCTTTCCGAGCTGGGGACGGGGTGTCTCGAGCGGGGAGGGGTGACCACAACATTCCGAGGAGCCCCTTCCCCCCCGGGCTCCTCGCACTGGTGGGCGATGCCGCCCCTCTCGCTCGAACATTTCTTGCAAAAAAAATGGCCCAAGGATGATTGTACCGGAGGTCCGCTCGGAATTCTTGGTTCGGCGCCGGGCCCCCCTCCGTGGCGCGCAAAGGGGGCCCAGCGCCGAGCCTCGCTCCTCCTGTTCCCTGGGTGCTGCCAGAGGTGCCCCCCTGGCCCAGAGAGTGCCCCCAGGCTTCTCGGGGCGGCCCAGGCGGCCTCCAGAGCACCCCATCACGAGGCCCGGAGGGCCCGCGGGCCCCCAGAATAGCGCGACAAGCTGGGGGCACCTCGGGCCAGGGGCACAGGAGGAGGAGGAGGAGGAGGAGGAGGAGGAGGAGGAGGAAGAGGAGGAGGAGGAGGAGGAGCAGGAGGAGGAGGAGGAGGAGGAGGAGCAGCAGGCCACAGCCTCGAATCGGTTTCCTACTCGGCACGTCGGCGCATGGCGCGCCCTCTTGCACAGTGCCAGGTACATCGACTGGTCGCTCGCATCTGTCCTGTGATCAGAGGCCCGCGACCTGGCCACTACTCTGCAGCTCGACGCCGAGCGCAAGCGGGACCAATAATGGAAGACTTGGGCCCACAAGCACAGCGACGCTGGAGGCGGCGCTCTGTTTGCGGTCAGCAAGCCCCCGACGCCCTGGTATTCCAGCCCCTCCTTCAGCGCTGCTGGCGAGGCTAGACCTGCCCCAGCCTCTTTGCAGCAAGAGATGCAACTCTTAGTGGAGGAGTGGAGTTCGTTCTGGAGGGTGGGGGAGGAGGAGACCCCGCTCGATTGGCCAGCCGACATGGGGCCGCCGCTGCCAGACTTTTCGGTAGACGACCTCCGTGCCTGCCTGAAGACGTTCAAGGCGTCCTCAGGCACGGGGTTCGATCAGATCAGACCTCTGTGACGACGGCCTCGCCTCCCTCCGTCTCCTCATCCTCCTCATCGAGAGCAAGCTGACTTGGCCTAGCTGCTGGAGCAAATTCGTGTTTTTAACCAAACGCACGGGTGGGCTGCGTCCCATCGCACTGCTGCACGTGCTGGCGCGCGTGCAGGCACGCCTTCGCAGGCCCCTACTTCTGAAGTGGCAACAGAGTAACTTTCGGAGTTTCTGGTGGTCTACGTCGGGGAGGGGGTCGGAGCGGCTCGTGTGGGTCCAGGCTGCCTCTTCGGAATGGGCTGTCAGCCAAAAGTTGTGTGCAAGCACCGTCCTGCTCGATCTTCGCAAAGCCTTCGAAAGTGTCAGACACGATGTGCTGCTAGACGCTGCTCGGAAGACTGGCTTTCCCTTGAGGCAGCTTCGGCTGCTCGTCAACTTGTATCGTTCGCCGCGTGTGCTCGAATATTCTGGCGTCAACTCGCAGCCCATCGTCACCCAGCAGGCCGTGCTTGCTGGCTGCCAGTTTGCCACGCTTTGCCTGCAGATGGTGCTTCTATGTCCGCTCGACACCGTCCAGGCAGCCTTTGTTCCGTGTACCCGTCAGGAAGTGCAGTTAGGAGTTGTAGTAGACGATTTTGGGCTTCACAAGGTTGGCTCACATCAATCAGTCAAGAGTGAGTTGGCCAGCGCCACCATCATGCTGCATCACGAGCTAGAGAAGATACGCCTGCCAGTTCACAGGCAGAAGAGTAGGGTTCTCGCATCCACCCCCAGCCTCAGGCACGAGCTCGCCGCCGTTCTCAGCTCTCGTCGGGTTCTTGCCGTCCAGTCTGAACGCAACCTGGGGGTGGACTACGCGGCTGGCGGGGTCATCAAGCGATCCACCAAGCGCGGTCGCAGGGTCGCCGCCGCCGCTAGACAGCGCATGATAGTTTCTATTGCCAGCAAGCTACGCAAGCGCGTAGCACATCACATGGTCCGAGCTGCCGTGCAGGCCTCCACCGCATACGGGTCGGGGGTGATGGGCAGCTCGGAGACCGAGTTTCGACAGGCGAGATTTTTGTAAGCCAGCGTCCAATGTCAGCGCCTGCACGGGCGCAGCCCCGCGCTACTCCTACAGATGCTAGGGGTTCGGCAGCTCGACCCAGCGTACGCTTTGAATATCACGCCCCTCCTCCACCTCGCCTCCGCGGTCTGGGAGTCCTGGGTTCCGCGGGGCGTCGTCGTGGCTGGCCTCCAAGGGGCCTGCCGCGCTCTGGAAGGGCACTCCTCGCCCTGGAAAGCCATCCGTGGACCCTTCTCCGCGTGCGTGGCTACGGCCAAGAGGCTGGGCATCAGTATCGACGGCCTGCGATGGTACCATCCTGTCGTTGGCTATTTTTCGTTGACGGAGCTGTGTCCTCGCACGATCGTGCTTCCGCTGACGCGCATCGTGGACGCTTGGTGTTGGCACAGAGTAGCCGAGCATCTCGATCAGCCTGCCTTTCAGCGCGGGCCGTTCCTGACCCCAATTGTTTCGGGCATGCGAGCGCTCACAACCCAAGAAAAAGCGCACATCGTCTCCGTCGTCTCTGAAGGTCAGTGGCCGCAGGCGCGGCAAGCGGAGTGCAGGCTCTCAGAATCGGCCGTTTGTCAGGTTTGCCTCGATTCTCCTGGCACTCTCTTGCACAGGCACCTCGCGCGCACTGGTCACGAGCAGGTCTTCGGTCTCGAAACCCCGCCCGTGGCCGCCTGCCTCCTCCGCGCCAGCGACAGCCCTCCCGTCCGCCTCCTCGCCGAGAGGCTGCTGGTGCCGCTGCCTGCCCCTCCTCCCCCCTCGCCTCCTCCCCCCGCGGAGGTCTGGGTGAAAGGAGACCCCAGCATGCTGGACGGGGATGTCTTTCTCGACGGGAGCCTCCTCGACGGAGAGCTTCCCCCCGCCGCGCAGTCCCTCGCCTGGGCCTGTGTCGCTCTTCAGGACGATCGGCCCATCGCGGCCGCTGTTGTTGCAGGTGGCCTCCCCGCAGGAATGTATGGCATTGACGCATGTGAGCTCTGGGTTCTTTCTCATGGCCCTCCGTTTATCTGCCCCTGGCGCCACCTTCTGGACCGATTATCAGTTCGTGTTTGGAGGGGTCTGGCTGCGGGGGAAAGCTTTTTGTTGCTCGGCCAAGTCGGCCTGGGCGGATATCTGGATCCTGGTGTGGGCCTGCCTCGAAGATCGGGGGGGGGGTGACTGTTTGCGGTTGCACCAGGTCAAGGCCCACACCACCCGCGGCGACCTTGAGCGAGGCGCCATCTCCGAGCGCCAGCGCGCAGGCAATCAGCTTGCCGACGCTGCCGCGAAGGAGGCTGCCGCCTATACCCGCGTGTCGTCGGAGTACCGTCACAGAACTAAGGCCCAGGCCAAGGTTGTTAAGTTCCTCACCATCTGGACTGGCCGTATAGGCCTCAAGATGGCCGACATCGATGCGGAGCACGTTCCTCCTGGGAGGCGCAGGCTGCTGCCGCGTAAGGAAGCCTGTGTCGTGCTGCCGCCAGAGGTTGTGGTTCCGCCCGTTCTCTCCAGGGCCGACGTTGCCCTCGCCGCTCTGGCTCGCGGCGGGCACGTCACTCGTCGCGCTTTCCCCATCTCCCTTGCCAGTGGGGCGAAGGGGATCGTCTGTGCTGTGTGCGGCGCTGGAGGCGTCACCCTCCAGGCCTCCTTCCGCGAGGCCTGCAGCCAGAGGCCCACGGCCTGGGGAGGCCGCGTCTTGAGGTGCCTGGCCCAGGGCCGCTACAAGTTGGGGCGGGACTGGGTCCCGCTCGTCGAGCCCTGGCGGCCCCGCGATCTCGTCGAGAGTGGTCAGGCACTTCGTCCGCTTTAAGTTTTGAAGGGGGGGGGGCCCTGTCGCCGGCCCCTGCCAGGGCAGTCATCCCCTGGCAGGGTGACAAAAAGGTCTCGTTCTGATGGGCCCCCCCTCCAGTTTTGCCAGGATCGAGGGACCTCGCCCCTTCTTCCTTTGGTCAGTGCGCAGGAGGTGGAGGATGAGGAGGAGGAGGAGGAGGCACCTCGGGCCAGGGGCACTTCTGGCAGCACCCGCGTTCCCCCCCTTCGCTCCCGTGCAGGCGCGGCGGGCCCCGCGGCCCGACGGCGCCGCCGGGGGGCGGCAGGCGGCGCGCGGGGGCTCGGCCGCGCCACGGCCACGCGCCGCGAGCGGCGCTCGCGCGGGCGCCCCGCGCGGCGGCGAGGAGCCTCGGCTCGCCCGCCGGCCTGGGCCTCCCATAAGGGGGGGGGGGGGGGGGGGGGGCACAGGCGAGCCCTGCCCCTGCCCCCCACGACCTCCTCGCGAGGCTGGGGCAAAACCCTTCGACCGGGAGCCTCCCGAAAGAACGAGGCGAGCCCCAGAACTTGCGGGGGGCAGGGGTAGGGGGTCGCACGTGGCCCCCCCGCTTTCCCGCTCCTTCTTTTCCTGCTCTCCTTCCTTGTCTTTCTCGTCGTCTGCTTGCTTCTCCCTCCTCCCCTCCCCCCCCTCCTCCGCCCTTCTCTCCCTCCCTCCCCCCTCCTTTCCCTCCCTTTTTTTTTTTCTCCCCAGATGGCGCGGCGCCCGGCCCCTCTCGGCCGAGGGCGTGCCGCCGCGCCGCGTTCTCTCCGGCGCGCGGCCCCGGCGTCTCGAGGAGGGCGCCGCGGCCGCCGGGGGCAGGCGCCGCCCCGGGCGCGGCGGGTCTTCCCCGCCGCGCTCGCCGCGGTGCGGGCTGCGTCTCCCTGGGCGCGGAGCGCAGAGTTTGCCGTGGGTTTGTCGTGGTGCCGGCGTCGTCCACGTGGGCGCGTCGGGAACAGGTGGCGCGGCGACATGTGTGTTACGGGGGAAATTGTGCGACCCAAAGGGTGCCAGAAATAGTGACCGAGAACGAAGTGCGGCTTACATTGTTGCCGAAGCTGGACATGGTGTCCGCTTCGCACCCGGAATTTGGGTCACACTCGGGCGCGGTCGGACAATTCCGGGCGCCAGTTTCGGTCACATTCGGGCAGAGCTTCGGCCACAGATTCGATCGATATACCGGCCTGATAGGGGCGAGGCTGCGCGACAGACGGGCCTGAGGCCATTCCTGGGATGGTAAGACGTCGGGTTGCGCACAGAGCCACCCCAGGTAGTTCCAGCTGGCCTCAACAGGCTCTCCGAGTAATTAGTCCCTGCTGGCCAGAACAGGCGCCCCGAGTAGTCCGGTGCGATCTTAGCGCCGCTGCATCGGCGACGCGGCTCGATGTGGGGCCCGATTTTCTCCACGCCGATGGCGCAGATGCATCCGCGATGCGGCACGATCCTCCGACTGAGCCTACTCGGAACTCATTACGGAGGCCTCCAGACCGCCCCCATCGGCTATGAAGCAGACGCCGAACAGTCAGAATCGGCACAAGCATAAACTTTCGGAGGTCCGCGCGGATGTCTTGGATCGGCGCTGGGAACCGTCCCTGGCGGCGCCTCCGGCGTGCTCCACGCGCCTGGAATGTCACGCTTGTTGCCTGAGATTGGGCACCGGACCATCCTGGGGGACTGATTTCTCCGCTTGGGCCGTTTTGTTTGTAGTCCTGGAGCCCAAGACGGGCCGTCACGGTCCCAAACTCAGGGCTCTCTTCTCCGTCGTTGGATGTGTTAGTGTCTGACATGCGCCCCTCTTGATCCTTTCCCTAGGGCCAGCTTTTCGTTCTGAGTCGGTTTAGACGGACTTGGGGCAAGGAAGCAGCACACAGAGGCCGAAAGTGAACAAAAGGTTGCCGTCACGAGTTTTTTGTGGTGTCGCCTGGTTCTGAGCCGAGTAGCACGCGATCAAGACTTGTTCAGGGCGGGGTCCATTTGGACCTCATCGAACCGATTGGATTGGGATGGCAGCCAGTCCGATCCAGTTATGTTCCGACGGTCCGGTTGGGCTTGATGTTTGCATGGCCGATCCGATTTGATTTCAGTTCCGTGCAGATGCAGGCCGATCCGACACGCATTCCTGGGCATGCCAAAAGGTACCGACACCACTACTCGACGGACCTTTCCCTGGTGCGTCCTTGCCAGAATTCCGAGGATAATCCAGCCGTTGCGACGAGAGATTTCCACGACGAGCAGTGGTATCGGTACCTGCTCCTCCTCTGAAGTCATTTTCGATCTGGCCTCCCGCTTCGATGCTGACTGACATTGCGACTGACGACGGAGGCTTTCGGCGGAGGCCTTTGGTGCCTGCCCTCGGCGGCGGCCTTCGGCGGAGGCCTTCGACTTCGAGCCCCAGCATCGTGATCCTTTCGCAGCGCGGGCCCCCGGAGGTCTCGGAGGTCTCGACCCATTCCTTGGGACGAGCTTCTCATCCCGAGTCGGTTTTTGCCATTCCTGGTGCCCGGCGAAGCCGCCCCCGAAGCCGAACATGAGCAATGCTTTTCCGACGTGGTCCCTTCCCCTGGGATGCAACTCCAAGGAGGTTGACTTCTGAATCGGCGCTGGTCTATCCTCTATCCCTGGTCGAAAGCTGGCCTAATCCAGTTTCATCCTGCTTAATCCAGTTCAATCTCGCTCAATCCGGCGTTTGTTTAATCTGGTTGAATCCTGAGCTTAATCAAGGCTCATCTGGCTCATTGGCCACTTCGTCAGGCTCGTTGTCTTTTTCACCTTTTTCCTGACGAAGACCTCCGAGGCGCTGCCGCCTAACTTTTCGATCCGATCTCCCCATGTGCTGCCGACTGGAGACAATTTTTGGGGGTTCTGGCGAAAACGCGGATTATCGGGCCCGCCTGACCCCCCAGATATTGTAGTGGCCTCCGGCCAGTGCCGCCGATCTAGGACGCTTCCGTTGCTGCCGGAAACGCACGATGGCGGTCACGACCGGCGACGACGGCGAGCGGTGAGGATGCTGATGAGGAGTGGGAATAGAGGACACGGGGTAGGAGGAGGAGGAGGAGGAGGAGGAGGAGGAGGAGGAGGAGGCGGAGGAGGAGGAGGAAGAGGAGGCGAGGGGAGGAGGAGGAGGAGGAGGAGGGAGGAGGAGGAGGAGGGAGGAGGAGGAGGAGAGGAGAGGAGGAGGAGGAGGAGGAGGAGGAGAGGAGGAGGAGGAAGAGGTGGAGGAAGGAGGAGGGGGAGGAGGAGGAGGAGGAGGAGGAGGAGGAGGAGGAGGAGAGGAGGAGGAGGAGGAGGCGGAGGAGGAGGGGGAGGAGGAGGAAAGAGGATGAGGAGGAGGAGGAGGTGGTGGAGGAGGAGGAGAGGAAGGGAGGAGGAGGAGGAGGAGAGAAGAGGAGAAGAGGAGAAGAGGAGAGGAGGAGAAGAGGAGAAGAGGAGAAGAGGAGAAGAGGAGAAGAGGAGAAGAGGAGAAGAGGAGGAGGAGGAGGAGGAGGAGGAGAAAAATAGTATTAATAATAAAAAGAATAAGAAGAAGGAAGAGCAGGAGGAGGAGGAGGAGGAGGAGGAGGATCATGATGAGGTGGAAGGGGGTGGGATCGGCAGGAGTAGCAGGATGCTGATGGCGAGGAGGAGCAGGAGGAAGTGGAAAGTGGAAGAGGGGAAGGGGAGAAGGAGGAGCATGACAAGAATGAGGAGATGTTCGGTGGTTGTTGGAAATGTCCGGCGGTTGTTGGAAAGCTTCTTCGGGGCCAGGTGTTGGTTGTCATTGGGTTTACGCCTCGCCGATTTGGTGCACTCTCTGAAAAGTGTCGTGCTAGAGTTGTCTGCGTCACAGTTCTTTGTGGAGCCTTGTGCATCACCGGTCTCTGCTGGGAGCCATGGAGTTTTTTGGGTCCCTGGGGCCTTCGCACGACCACCTGCGGGCTCTTTGTGAGATCGTGGATGTGAAAGACATCGAAGACGGGAGAATATGTGAAAGCGTGGAGGAACCTATCGTCTTGAAGCGCTTATGTTCAGACGTGAGCGTCGTGGAAGCATTGGGGCCGGTTTGGGCTTCTCGGGGGGGGGGGCCTTGGAGGCAGCCTGGAGGCCTCTTGAAGGCGTTTTTTTTTGTTGTTGTTTAACCCCTGGGGCCTTCAAGGGGGTTCAGGGTGCCTCTTCGGGGCCAGCTGGAAGCGTCTTGGGGCCTCTTCAGGCCTCTTGGGGGCCTCTCTGGGACTGTTGGGGGCTTCTTGGGCCGCCTTCGGCACTTATTCTGCCGTCTTGGCGCCCTTTCACGCGCCTCTTGGGCCCGTCCTGGGGCCCTCTTGGGCCTTTCCGGGTGCCTCTTGGGCCATTTTGGGCCCTTCCTGGGCCGTCTTTGGGCCCTCTTGGCGGTTTTTTGGGCCGCTTTGGTTTTCGTATGGCGTCTGCGACGCTCTGAAGGCCCAAGAGGCGAATATGCTAAAAATATAAACTTTCCAGCAGGAATGGGGCGCTTGTTGTTTTTCCCTTTTTTTGGAGGCGTTCACAGGGCTTCTGAGGGCATTGTGGAGGCTTCTGGAGCCGCTTTGGGGACAGATTGGGCGTCTTGTAGCGATCGTTCGGCGACTCGTGGCTCTCTTGGCCCATATTGGGGCCCTCCTGGGCGAGGGGGCCGTCCTGGACTGAGCTGGATTTTCGATTCCGTCCAGGGAATCAAATCGACCCCACCCCCCTCCCCCTTGCCCCGGCAATGCCACCCGGGCACCCACCCCCCAGTAGAGCTGAAACTCAGGAATTGAGGCTGAGGCTGTTTTGAGGGTCTTTGAAACACTCGCAGGTCTAGAGGGGGCGCGCAGTATTGATGCGTACGCGGGGCTGCCAAAAACGATAAGGTCAGGTTGTCAGCCGGCTACCCCCCACCACCAGGTAATCCAAGTTTCCGCCAAACAATCAAAAACTAGATCCGTAAGGGCTTCGCCCCCTGCCGCCGGCTCCCTGTCTCGGATAATGGGCAACGCAAGAGCGAAATCATGAGGCCGTGGCGCCGCCGTGAAGCAGCTTCGGGACTTCACGCGAAAACGATGAGTAATCTGCAAGACAAATTGAGATTCTGATGATGTTGTTGAATTCGATGTTGTATTTCGAGCTTGCTCGCGTATGCTGTGTAAAAAATGTTCTACAAAGTGTTGACATGTTGCAAATCCCATGTGTTTTTTTTGATCCTGACCCCACCGATCTGCGTGAGGGGTGCCACCGGATTTCAAGACATGTGGCAGCTCCCGTGTGCTTTTCGACCCTGACCCTGCCGATCTGCGTGAGGGGTGCCGCCGAGTGTCAGACAAGTGGCACATCCCATGGGTTTTTCGACCCTGGGGTGCCGCCGAATTCCAGACATGTGGCCAACCCCATTTGTTTTTTCGACCCTGACTCCGCCGATATGCGTCAGGGGCGCCGCCGAATTTCAACATTGTGGCAAATCCCTTAGGTCGATCGACCCTGACTCCGCTGATCTGCGTCAGGGGTGTCGCCGAATTTCAGACATGTGGCAAATCCAATTGGTTTTTCGACCCTGACCCCGGCGATCTGCGTGAAGGGGTGCCGCCAATTTTTTGAAATATTGGAAATCCCATGGTTTTTCGACCCCCCGCCGATCTGCGTGAGAGGTGCCGCCGGATTTCAAACATGTGGCAAATCCCATCGGGTTCTTCGACCCTGACCTCGCCGATCAGCGTGAGGGGTGCCACCGAGTTTTAGAAATGTGGCAAATCCCATCGGGTTTTTCGACCCTGACTCCGCCGATCTGAGTGAGGGGTGCCGCCGGATTAAAAGCATGTGGCAAATCCCACTCTGTTTTTTCTACCCTGACGCCGCCGATCTGCGTGAGGGCTGCCACCGAATTTCAGAAATGTGGCACATCCCATGTGTTTTTGAACCCTGACCCCGCCGATCTGCGTGAGGGGTGCCAATTTCGCCCCCCCCCCCCCCAGAAATTTTGAGAACCCTCCCGCGAGACGCTAGGTTTGCTGGTTTTCGGCTCCCCCCCTCGCGCGGTCTACAACAAGGAACGGTAACCTCTGAAAGGAGTATTGCAACAGTGGAAACTGGAAGTTGGAACTGATGCAGGGAACAAGCAGCAAGCCCTGGTCCTTCAGCCTGGTGGCCCCGCAAGGGGGCCAGAGGATGTTGGCGAGCTGATCTCCCGATGCGCTGCTGACTGACCCTGGCACTGCCTGTCTCGAGGAGGGGCCGCGGGCGCGGGCGCAGCCGCTGTCGTTCGCGCTGCCCCAGGGCGCCAGGGCGTGGAGCCTCCCCGACCAGCTGCCTCGCGTGGGCTCGGACCCTGGGTCGGGACCCCCAAGCCAGTTCCTTGGATACCTCCTCCTCCTCCTCCTCCTCCTCCTCCTCCTTATCGTCCTCCTCCTTCTCCTCCTCCTCCTGCTTCTCCTCCTCCTCCTCCTTTTCCTCCTCCTCCTCCTCCTCCTCCTCCTCCTCCTCCTCCTCCCCCTCCCCCTCCCTCCTCCCTCTCCTCCTCCTTTTCCTCCTCCTCCCGGTGGCCGTTTTAGCTCAAGACGGAGTTCACCTCCTGAGGCCCGAGGTGGAGGTGGAAGGGCAGCCCCGTCCTCAGGCCTGGCTGCCTCGGCCACCCTTAGCTCCTGCGGAGCGTGCTGATTCTGGCGAGCTCCTGCTGGACATTCTTCCCGACGTTTCCTGTGGAACGAA